TGGTTTTATTTATTTATTATTATTATTATTATTATTATTGAATAGTTTTTCTCCTTAATTGTTTTGTGTGCTTTTTCTCTATTACTTTTTAAATTTAATTTTCTATTTGTATTTTTATTTAGACTAAAACATTTAATTCAAATTCTTGAAATTTTAAAATATTTGCACTATTTAGCATGCGATACGTGCATCACACATGTTTAAAAAATATATCTACATAAAATGTGAAATAGAACTTGGAATATTATTAATAAGATACACCTAAAAGTAATAATGATTATAAAAGTTAAATCACATGTAAACTGTAATGTACCATGGTGTAATTATTATTGGCGAAATGGTCTGATGAACCCTTATACTTGTGTGAGTTTGTATTCTGGACCCTTCTACTCAACCCTTTACCAACTGAACTCCTAAACCTATTGAAACTTGATATTTTAAACCTTTTTTTGACTTGTCATTCTATGTGGCATTTTTGTTCAAAGTGTGTGTGATACACATATTTTAAGAGCGTGAAGTCTTCAAAAAAAATTGAAAATGTCAAGTTTTAATCTAACTAAGAGTCATCTTCATCCCCATTTATTCATTTACCATTGTTGGACAAAAAAAAGAAGCTTTTTTTGGAGGGTTTTCTACTTATCTCCAAATTTCTTTCATTGTTTCAAACAAATAAATGGACTTATTGATCCTATTCTTCAACAAGTATTTCGTTCCTCCGAACTTAACATCGCCGGAGCCATTAACCACACCAATTTCTGCAAATCTTCAGAACACAAAATCCTTTCTTAAATGAACAAATTATAAAAAGCTAAAATGTTAAACTGATCCAAAATTATTAAGAGGGGAAGAAAAAAAAAAAGAAACATGGAAAACATAAGTTAGAAATCAACTTGTTTTCCAAGAAAATATTTTCTAGGAAAACATTTTCCTTTGTACCAAACACACTTAACCTACTAAGATTCCCCAAACGAATACACCTATAACATAAAGCAGTTTGCATTTTACCCCATTTCAGTCGATAATTTCAATCCAACTAACTTTGGATCGATCAATAACTCACTCATTTATTAATTCAACTGATTTTAATTTGCTCAAATTCAATCTTACCCGTTTATTTGATACCTCCCATTTAATCTGAAGTTCATAGAATTTTAATTTTTCTATGAGTTCCATTAAACAACACCAATCTAGTTCTACATTGTACTATTTTTGAATGACACAATCGATCGATGAAATCAAAATGGACTACTATAGTCTATTACACAATATATTTTGCTCCAATTGTTTACCAATTAATTTTCACTATGTGTTATTCACAACAATCATAGCCATTTACTTCCAATTCAATTAAATGGCAAAAAAATTAAATATTTTTCTTTTAAGTTTTTTTTTCCAAAAGATAGGCTAAAACTAAGTGCAAAATTCTTATCTTACTTTTGGACGGCTTTGTAGTGTACTTTTAAAATCGAATTAAAAATTTGTATCAGGCTACAAACATATACGTGGGATATTTTTTTAAAGTAAATTTATTGTAACTCTTCTAATTAATGTTTCTTAAACAAAAAAAATAAAAAATTGAGAAGACATGATATTACATCTACAAACTTCCATTTAAACTAGTGACGAGGACGTGAATATTATATTTTTCAACGAATAAATCGAATTTATTATAAGTTAGAGTTTTATTCTTGCAAGCATGCATTTTTTAAAATCATTTTGTTTGTAAATTTTCATAAATTTACTATAATTATCAATCGTTCCACTATGTAGTTAAACCCATATTGTGTTAAGCTTATATTGTTATTTTGTATTTAATGATAAATAGTTTAAAGATGTAACAAATTTTTCATATAAAACGATAAAAAAGATACCTTTCATTAATTTATGAAAATTAAATGTGTTTAGTCATATTAACAATGTTCTCAAAACTTGATCGTGTTGGGGGAGGATCTCAAGGCAGTGCGTATCAAAATGCTCCAGAGCTCAAATAAAAGATATACAACCTCAAATCGGGACCACTAATTTAAATTGAAAGAAAGTTATTATACAACCTCAAATCGGAACCTCTAATCTAAATTGGAAAAAAGTTATTGACTTATCGATAATGAGTTATTGATTTAGTGATTTCAGTAGTGGTTTTGATCATTTTTTTTTATATTGGGTTATCAGTTTTTAACGATTTGAGGTTTTTTCATTAATAAGTTAATCGATAACGCGATAGTAAATTAATAAATTATATTTATATTATTTGGTATATAAAGTCATTGACTTAGTGTTTGGTTTCATACTTCATTTCTCATTGCCTCAAAATTTCGATTATACTACAAGATATCAATACTTGCTTTTGAGGAAGATGCTATCTCTCAACTCATTTCATTTGGTTAGTCAACTTATTTCTAAGACAAATTAATAAATTAATAGTTCTATAACAATTTAACATAATTACAAGTCGATAACCGATAATCGATAAGTCAAATTAATAAACTTTAAAATCAAACCAACCGAAACAATTACTCTAAACAGAGATTAATTAATGATGGGACACGTCTTTGAGATGATGAATTTATTAAGTATTTACTAATAGGAGTTGTTAATTAAAACTAATTATATAGCTAGCACTCGTGCAATTCCAGATTTGCCTCTTTAAATATTCATTTGGTGTCAGTTAATTATTGCCTGCCAACTACAAGGGGAGAAGCAATTTATCTGTTTCAATTTATGCGATACTATTAATTTAATACGATAATACATACTTTTTTATGGTTTAGGTTCGAAATATGTACATAAAAAAAATAAAACAAAAATGTATGTACTTATGTCTTATATTTGCATTATAATTGTAAGGGCAAAATAAGTTATTCAAACTCGAAGTTCAAAACATGCATAAAATTATTAATTGAAATGCCATTTCAAATTTAGAAAACTATGATAAATGATTTGATTTTGCGGAAATAATCTCTTATGTCCATTTATAAATTAAACAGAAGAAAATAATATTTTCAAATTTTTTATTTAAAGAGAGAAACTATGATAAAAAGTTACAAAAACTAAATTTCGATTTTTAACTTAATTTCCATTCCATTAATTAATTGTTTGGAATTTGGAAATTAATTACCACCAAATCAACCATATCGTGCAGCAGCTAGCACGTGAATACTGTCGACTAATTTTCATTAACTTCAAGTTGACTTCATTAAATTCTTAATTACTTATCTTCTTTATATTGGTAACAAAAATAATTATAAATATTATATCGTTTATAAAAAATTCTGCGTACCTCATAAAATTTCTCAAGTTAATATAGCAGCTATGGTATGGAAAAGCTTGGATAATTTCATACGTAATTATTTTAGATTTTTGAGACTTCTCAGAGCAAAAAAAATATTTTCAATGTAAAGATGCCTTATTGTTATTCTTTGTTAATGGAAAAAATAATGTTTTGAAAACCTTAGGATGTTTTTAGTAGGGAAGAAAATATTTTTTGAAATTGGTTTCTTTACTTTTCTTGTGTTTGATTAGTTATTCAAGCGATTAGGTGATAAACACTTATTCACATCAAATATTTATATTTAATTAATAACATGTATTTTCATATTTATTTCTATAGCTTAATCATGAATAATAACAATACATTATCACTTCATCAAAGAGTCACTAAACTATTATAAGTCAAACCGACTTGATATAACACTTTATATGAGTTTCTTTGAATTGGATCATTGATAAATACATATAATGATCCAATTTATTTTCAATCATTAATTTAAAATCTAAGGAGATTTATTAACCCATTCCAAACATGAAAAAAAATTATTTTTTCAAACTCGAAAAATTAGGTAAAATGACATTTACTCTAAAATTTATTATTTTATTCGTCTCATTTTTGTGGCACATTTCAAATTTTGAAATTTAAATAAATAATTTTCTTAGTGTGATTTTTTTTGTAGTATATCTTAAATTATAATTAATAATATAATATTTTATTTTAAAAATTCTTGTATTTACGATTAAAAATAAATTATTTGACTCCAAGCCGCATAAAAAATTAGGACATGAGCCTATATTGTCTTGTTTTTGTCCAGTAAAAAAGAGTATGCGCATATATAGGACAAAAGCATCCCCCACCCCCGCACAAATTTTGTTTGATATGAAAGAAGTATTAAAAATACCTTTGAATTTAAAGTAAATTATTAGTTTCGTCTTCATATTATCGATAGTTTTAAAAAATATTTCTTTACTTGATGAATTAAACTTAGATACACTCTCGATATGCCATATGACATAGTAAATGATTTCAAACTCATGTAGGAACATGAAACTCTTAATAGTCGAGAGAAGTTTTGAAAACGCTTCTAAACTTGATGAGAATTTGAGTGTCTAATAAAAGAGTGTTTTTAAAGTTGTTAATAGTTTTACACATGAAACTAATAATTTTATGAGTGTTTTCAATACTTCTCTATTTATTTTTAGAGAAGTATCGAAACCTCCCTTGAACTCGAAGTAAATTATTAGTTTCATTTCCACACTATTGACAGCCTTATAAACAACTCCATACTTGACTATCTCAATTTAGATACACCCCGATCGGTCTCAAAGTCTTGTAAAAACATGAAACTCTTAATAAAATGTCAAAAGAAGTGTTGAAAATATTTTTAAAATATATTTCACTCAAGTTATCCAATCAAGAGTGTATTTAAGTTCAATTAATCAAATAAAATAATATTTTTAAGATTGTAATTAATTCAGGATGAAACTAATAATTTACGTCACTAAAATTTTACTTTGTCCTCTAAAATTAAAGATAAAATCCATTTGAATCGGCCATCGGAATATTCAAATGATTCGTCCGCCGGTGAAATCATTAATTTTACATTTTTTCAAAAGTCCATTTTCAAACAGTAGAGAAAATATATACTAGTAATTTTTAAATTTCAGACACTATTATTAGTACCTATTCAAATACAAATTCATCACTTTAATTTCTCAAAAAGAAGAAGAAAAAAAAAAAAACTCTCAAATTCACCTTCGCCTCCATTTTTAAATTTCTCATTATCATTCATTCATTTCGATTCTCTAAGCTCACAAATTATTTTCGAGATTCCGAAATTTCAAAGGTTAAAATGGAGCCACCGGGAAACGACGTCGTTGCGTTTGAGTCAGCTGAGAAGATAATACTCCGGTGGGATTCCACGGCGTCGGAAGATGCTAGAGAGAAGATGATCTTCGCCGGAGATCGATATGAGATCGAGCGGTACTTGCAAGCTGTTGATGAAATCCAACGGTCCATGGAGTTTGCTACACTTTCCGATGACCAGAACAAAGCTAATAGTGCGATCCAGATCGCTATGGCTCGGCTTGAAGATGAGTTTCGGAATATACTCATAGCTCATACGACTCCTATGGAAGCTGAATCTCTTACTGACAGTAGTCCTCTGCCTGAAGAAGACTACGAGGATGACTCGCCGTTGACCAAGGACTTGGAGCATCAAGAGAGTAACAGCACCTGTAGTTATCGATCTACAAATAGCATTCGTGAAATCGATCTAATGCCTTCTGATGCAATTTACGATCTCCGATGCATCGCTGAGCGAATGATTTTGGCCGGATATCTTCGGGAGTGTATTCAGGTGTATGGCAGTGTACGGAAGTCTGCAGTGGACTCGAGTTTCCGCAAGCTTGGGATAGAGAAGCTGAGCATTGGAGATATCCAGAGATTAGAATGGGAAATTCTAGAAACGAAGATCCGGCGGTGGATACGAGCTGCAAAAGTATGCGTTCGGATACTTTTCGCTAGTGAGAAGAAACTCTGTGAGCAAATCTTCGAAGGTTTAGGTACTGCCACGGACGATGCTTGTTTCATGGAGACTATTAAAGGTCCAGCTATTCAGCTATTCAATTTTGCTGAAGCCATTAGCATTAGTCGGAGATCACCGGAGAAGTTGTTTAAGATATTGGATCTTCATGATGCTTTATCGGATTTACTAGTGGACATTGAGATTGTTTTCGATTCAAAATCTTCGGAGTCAATTAGGGTTCAAGCTGTAGAGATACTATCTAGGTTAGCGGAGGCTGCAAGAGGGATATTATCTGAATTTGAAAATGCAGTGCTTCGAGAACCTTCCAAGGTTCCTGTACCTGGAGGGACAATTCATCCCTTGACTAGGTATGTTATGAACTACATAAGTTTAATCTCAGACTACAAACAGACCATGTCTGAATTGATTGTCTCAAAGCCATCAACAGGGTCAAGGTATTCGAGTGATCCTAACACTCCTGATATGGATTTTGCGGAGTTAGAATCACATACCCCGTTGGCGCTGCATTTGATCTGGATTGCTGTAATTTTGCAGTTCAATTTGGAAGGTAAGTCTAAGTGCTATAGGGATACTTCATTGACACATATATTTATGATGAACAATGTACATTATATTGTCCAGAAGATTAAAGGGTCACCTGAGCTAAGGGAGATGGTAGGGGATGATTGTTTAAGGAAATTAACAGGGAAATTTAGGCAAGCAGCTACCAACTACCAGAGATCAACCTGGGTGAATGTTTTGCATTGCTTGCGAGATGAGGGTTTACATGTTAAAGGCAGTTTTTCATCTGGGGTGTCTAAGAGTGCGTTGAGAGAGCGGTTTAAGACCTTCAATGCTATGTTTGAAGAGGTACATAGGACTCAGTCCACCTGGTTGATACCGGATACCCAGCTCCGAGAGGAGCTGCGTATTTCTGTATCTGAGAAGTTGATCCCAGCTTATAGATCATTTCTCGGAAGGTTCAGGAGTCATATTGAGAGTGGGAGGCATCCGGAAAACTATATCAAGTATTCCGGTGAGGACATTGAGACTGCTGTCTTGGATTTCTTCGAGGGGTACCAAGTTTCACAACACATAAGAAGAAGATCTGAATGAAAGGATATAAATTCCACTAATTAGAACCTTAGGACATTCTTTGAATTTTTTTCTGGAGTCATTTAGGAGGAGCTGAGGTTCTGGAGTTAAGGTATTGTCGGGCAAAGCAGAAAAAGATCAGCTGTATCTATGATAGTCTCCGCCTCTGCCTAAATGCTCCTGCCCTGTAAGCGCGGTGTTGTTGTATTTCTTCCATATGTTAGATTTTATTTCATTTTGTCCATATCTGAATTGGTGCATTTGGTTTTTACTCAGAAATTTTTGAGCCATCAAGATCACGAGTACAGAGTTTCGTTTATCCTTGCAGGTCACCCTCTAAGCCCATGCATCTTATCAGGTGCTTAATATAATCTGAACATTGAAGGCAACATTTCTAAGGTCAATATCCCTAACAACTGATTACTTATTATCAAACTTGATTTCAAAATTCCATTAACAATATCATAGTTTATGGTATTCCCTTGCTTCTTCTGAGCCGAGGGTAAGGTTTGCGTACATCCTACCCTCCTTAGACCCCACTTGTGGGATTACAGTAGGTATATCGTTGTTGTTGCATAGTATTTCCCTTGATTTATTCTTACTGCTTACAAGTTAAGGTCTTTATCAGTGAAATGAAAACAGTTCTTGATGATTTTCCAACTATAACACTGGAAGTTGTTGCAGTATGACAATTTGCTGATGTATTTGGTAAAGCACCATACAAAACTATTGGAGCTTTTTGCTTAGCTGTGACTTGTGCCCTTTTACTGATAGGGACATAGGGTAAGTAGTGCTTGTACTTTACAAAAAACAATAAAAGAAGGATAAGTGGTGCTTATTAGCTGTTGTTGGAGATCAAGAGAACATTACCAATCACTTTAATTGTTTAATACTCTCAAACATGAATGCTTACCTTATCTCATAAAAAGAAGAATAATTGAAACTCTTATAATTTGCTACAGTTAGAACACAATATAAGTGGATACTTCCTGCTTGCTTTTACTTGAGCATTGTGTTAATTTGCTCTCTGTAGTGCTTCAGATTGTTAGTTTACCCTTTGTAAGTATATCATTTGCAGTTGCAATCTTTCCACATATCTTCATTTTACATCGTATTCATCGTGTCTCTGTAACGTGCCCTATACACAGGAGTTCAAGCTAGTCTTTCCTAACATGATTTTTTTTCGAATTCTGCTTCCGTTCATTTGAAAGGTCAAATAAGGGTGACACTTCGATTCATCAATATTCAATTTTCAATGGTCTAAGTTTGTCTTCAGCCGCCAATTACAAGAGATGTAATGGTCCACGAAGATTCAAATGTATTCTGGGGAACAAGTCAGAATGAGTAACATAGAATTTTCCCCTAGCTTGTTGTAGGTTTGGTGAATAAACAAACAAACACTTCATGAGATGGTATAGAGTATAGAGAACTTGGTTTGTCGACCCCCAATATGGAAAATGCTTTATTAATTGATTATCTTCTCTCTTTTGGGAATGTTACTTCGCCACGTTATAATAAGGGGCCATTGGGGTTATGTTGTTATTCATCTAGTGTTTTCTTTGTCTCCATTGAGTTTTGAATCTGAGACCTCAAAGTTCTCAACCAGTTCATTGATTACTAAGTTACATCCCTGGAATGTGAATAATCTTTCATGGTTATGATCCCGGGATTATTATCATCGATAACCTTATTTTGAACTAATAGCATTTGAATATAAGTTATGTGTTGGTGGGGAAAGTCGATAGATATTTCATGAAATTAGTCAAAGATACACAAAGGGTTATTAAAAAAAACAAGAGGGAATTAAGAGCCATCTTTGTAAGTCAAATGAGTAAGAAAGCATTGACTAGTCAATTATGTACTACTAGACTTTCTTCTGGTCAATCAATTTTGGTGTTTCAATATTTTGAATGAGTTAAGGCTGAAAATAAATAAAGAAATTTGACTGACTTTGAAATTCTGAATTACAAAATGACCACGTCTTTAAATGTTGTATTTATTTCCTAGCCAAAATCAGTGACCAGCAAGACCTCGACGACTGTGAAATATGGAAGAGTTGAAACTCTAGATTATCCCCACCCCACCCCCCTAAATAAAAAGGATTTAATCATGATAAATAAAATATAACATAATATAAATATTGAATGCAACTACATATTTTGGAAAAATTTAAACCAAAATAACAATAATTCTTTTTTGCTTTTAGCTGAATTCTTTTTCTTGTAATCAAAATTAATAACTGTCTTGCTTTGTTTCTAGTATTGAACGTATATAAACGTCAATTCTCTATGCACTATAAACCAATTATAAATCTTCAAGACCCATATTTAATAAATTAAAATTTTTTAACGATGGCTAAATTATTGTCCAAATTTGGATGGTCAACGGCTTTATTCAGGTTCTTGTTACAATAGAATGCGTTTGGTACAAAAGAAAATGTTTTTAAGTGAATATTTTGTTTATTTTCTTTTGTTAGTACATAAAATAAAATATTATCCTAAAAGTATTTGTGAACCATCTAGAACAAATACCACTGTGGGTGGAG